TGTCTAGTCTAATGAAAAGAATGACTAGGAAAACTGATAGCACTGTTTCTATATTTGAGGGGCTCCTAGAAGGACGAAGAGGTCAAACTATTTTCCAAAGCACCAAAAGGCAAGACAAGAAACAATGGTTGAAAACTAACTAAGGAGAGAAGCAACCTAGAACTAAGAAGAAATTCCCTAACAGTGAGAGCAATTAACCAGTAGAATAGCTTGCCTTCAGAAGTTGCTTCATCACTGAAGGCTTTCAAAAAAAGACTGGATAACCATTTGTCTGAAATGATATAGGGTCTCCTGCTTGAGCAGGGGATTGGATTAGAAGCAATGGTGGTGGGCAGTTCGGAGAACTGGTAGCAAAAATCCCTGCCCCTGCCCCCCTAGCTGAGCTGCGCGATCATCAGAGCCTTTTTTTTCTTTTAAATGGCTCTAATGAGCCAAGCTCTGACAATCCCAGCTGAGTTGCCTGCTAATCGATAGCAAAAATCCCCCCTCCCCCCTCAGCTTGTTTACCTTAGCTGCTGGTCGCAATGCCTTACTGTAATCCCTGCAATCCATTGCATCAGCAAGCAACTGAATCTCCCTGTCTGCAATCAAGCAGGCAGGGAGTTGTGGATTTCAACTCCCAGAATTCCTCAGCCAGCAAAGCAAAGCTGGCTGAGGAATTCTGGGAGTTGAAGTCTACAAGTCTTAAAGTTGCCAAGGTTGGAGACCCTTGTTCTATTGGGTAAATTTTTTTCCCCTTTGGGAGCTTTAAAAAAAATAGTTAATTGGGGGTTTTTTTAGTTGTTCTTTTTTTAGACCTAGCCATTTAAAGTTTAGGAAGTTTTAAATTTAGCTGCTTTTATATAAAAATAAAATAAAATAAAATAATATTTGTGCAGCTTTCTGAGATTTAGTGTGTTTCTGTAGTGTTTCACTCTAATTACACAAACACACAAAATCTCACAAAGCTGTATGTGGAATTTTGTGTGTGTAAAGTGTGAAAGTTGGTTTTTTGGGCTTTTTGTGGCTGTGTGAGGTTCCTGCTTGTTGCAGGGGCCATTTTGGGTCTAGCACAGCTGCTTTTACATTGTGGGTGAGCCAGTTGTGTTGTGTTGTGTTTTGTAGGTTAAAAAAGGGCAAAGAAGTGACATTGACTTAGCCACACCCACCTGACCAACAAGCCACGCCGTCCCAGTCACTTTACCACCAAGCCCTGCCCACTAATTAAGCCACGCCCACAGAACCCATAGCAAAAAATTTTAGATTTCACCCCTGATTAGAAGATGTCTGAAGTCCCATTCAACTCTATTATTCTATGTTCTAAATCAATCAGAAATGCTCAAATTTACAAACAAGTAATTCACTTGGATAATCCTTCCAGGGAAAGGGTTTTGATTACTTGCTACATCTAGGAAGTAGAGAATGCTGTTTACACTTCTTATATTCAGTTTTCACATGGTGACTCTTGTATTTGCACCAAGCAGCCTATCATAGCTGCCCCATCTAACTTTTTAAATGCTAATTAGCTATGTCCTGGTGGTGCTATTGGGTCAGATCCAGGGAGCCAAGCCTTTACCAATTTTTTTGTTTGTCTATGAGTGCATTCAAGCTAGGACCAGTTTTTAGAAAGTATGTAATTCCCAGTTCAAATCATTCATGAGATTGGGGGGTGGGGGAGTACAGAGCTCTGTTTAGAAAGAAAATAGAGACCCAGAAGGTAATTGACAGACATTCGTCTAGATTACTGATGAAAAAAACTCTACTGATTTATGAGGATTTCTTGCAATCCCCATCTCCTTTTTTCCACAAAGCCTCTATTAAGTCTCACCACCTCCTTACTCCTGAGACGTAGGCCAAATATTTCCATACTCTGTTCAGCAATGCACCAAATTCTATGCCATTTTTTGGTCTTTTCCCTGATGCCGTAGCAAATTGACCCCTCATGTTTTTGCTGGAGCCTTCTAAATTCATTTTACAACTTTAAAATGGCAAAATAGTTAGAGATAATCTAATATAGACAGAATATCTAAAGGCAAAGTTGGATTGGTCAGCTTTAGTCCTGGCATCCTGTTCACAAATTTTATTTTTTTCCTTTGTGATTCCCACAGATTGATGTAGGTTCATCATAATGCAAGCATAGAAAAAAAAATGGGGTTATGAAAGAAGCCAACTAATTTCTAACATATAGATTGGATAATATAGGGGAAGAGAATTGATCCAGTTTCAAGAAAGGGAAATGGTTTACTCTTCATATTATAGAAAAATATTACTCCATGAGGTTTTTTTATGTTGCCTTTATTGACTTGAGCTTTGTTGGCCTTTGCCCAGATCCCTTCAATTTTAGGACAATTTAACTGCTGTGGCCCTTCAGAGGACCCTTGATGTTGACACAGTGATGATTGTGTGATTGTATTAAATAAAAAGACTTACTACACCTGGATCTCCATTTTTTTCATGCAGTTTGCTCGAAGTGCTTATCTTCTTCTCACTATAGGCACAAAATTTAAATTTGTGCATTAATTTGTTGCATTAATGTCAATATATTGCTGACATAAATTTTTTTGCTTGACAGAGCATACATGTTTTGTGTAGTTTCAGTTAGATCATGATAAATATTTAACATTTTGTCTTATGTGTTCTAATCACAGCATTAATTTGACAGATTGAGTAAATTATTTTCTTTTCACTAAAAAACAACATTTTTTTTTTCTAAAGAAGCTTTTTGATCTGTTTAGTCAGACATTAACAGACAAAATATACACTTGGATCATTAATGCATATTTTTATGCATTAATTTATTCACTCAATTTGGCTGCCACCAGTCTCAAACCTGCTTTAATGTATTGCATAATTATCGTCTGAAATTTCTATCTTCCTGTATGCAAAGTTTTGGAGCAGCTCCCTATAAGTACTGCATAAGCTTTTTCTGTTCCACAAATAGGCTGCTGTTGTACCGGATGTGCTGTGATATAAAACACAATTTGCTGTAGGCCCAATACTTTATTTCTTTAAAGCACAAACTACTTTCTCTCCTAAACTGACCTATCTAGGGACTAGAAGGAAAAATGTTGGTCTATATTTCAACTTTAATTAGCACTGCTTTTCTTAGCTAGAAGTGAAATAAAAAGGCAAGATAGATATTTTCCAATTATAAATGCATATCCTAGAAAATAGACATTTAACATAATTAGATCTAGTTTAGAGTACACGTGTAGAATTTTACTGTTTGTTTGTTTGTTTCAACAATGCAGTTCTGTTTAATCATAATGAAGTCCTATCAATGTTTCTTTCCCATGTTATTAAAAAATTCTATTTCTGGAATTTTCTAAATTGGTTTACCTTGTGTACTATTTTTCTATGAAACTGATAGAATTTTTTTTTTCCTCCAGTACTAATGTCGTTAAGTGTTCTAGTTGGAGTAGAGTAGATGTAAAATGCAGCCTAGATTTAAAAAGAATAGAGGTAGTCCTTGATTTAACACAGTTTGTTTAGTGACTGTTCAAAGTTACAACTGAAAAATGTGATCTATGACCGTTTTTCACACTTACGGCCGTTGTAGCATCTTCATGGTCACGTGATCAAGATTCGGTCACTTGGCAACTGACTCATACTTATATGGCGGTTGCAGTGTTCCAAGGTCATGTGATCCCCTTTTGCGACCTTCTGATAAGCAAAGACAAATGGGAAGCCAGATTTATTTACCAGTTGAATTACTAAATTAACAACCGCAGTGATTTACTCCACATGTGTGGCAAGAAAGGTTGTAAAGTGGGACAAAACTCACCTAACAAATGTCTCACTTAGCAACAGAAATGTTGGGCTCAGTTGTGGTCATAAATTGATGATTATCTTTACTCAGCATAGGCAAAGTAGCTCAAGTACAAATGTAAGGCTATAACAAAATATGGTTACAGTGTTATTTGCTGGTTGGAAGCCTGAATCAAATGGGGCCATAGAATCTGATACAACAATTCTGCCATTTTTCGTGTTTCAACTTTTTGCATCTAGATATTGAATGTGTAGCATAGTCTTCATTTAAGGGGGACTTCTTAGCCACAGCTATCAGATCAGATCTAAAAACAAAGAGACACAAATGAAAGTAAACTAATCATTAAATCTATTTCTAATCAGCAGGAAGAAATAACAAAACATTATTACATTTTACATCATTAGGGGAAAATAAAATATTTTTAAAAATAATTGACATGATTGGATAGTCTCGGCCTCGCTAGGCTGCCAGTGCGGAAATGCAGGGAACACACAAGAACTGAGCTGGTGAATCAATCCTGGTTTAATATCTGCTACACAACAGCTACTACTCGTTGCCAGATTGCTACTGCAATATAAAGTCAGCGTTGAGAGCGTCCGCTACTCAGCGCCTTTTAACTATCTCGCTGTGTCTCTGAAATCACTTTCAGCTGAGATTCATAGTTGCCACCACCGGGAGCAGCTGGGTCGCTGGAATGTGACATCACCATTCTCGGCTCCCTCGTCTGCTGGAAACTCCACGTCGTCGTTTGTTGGATTCAATCCCCACACGATCCCTCTATGCCCAGCACCGGTGATGGATGGCCCTAACTGTGGTCCCTACCCCTGTCACCGTCACCCGTGCCCGTGTTCACCCTTCCCTCCCCCTGCATCCGGGTTGTCTATCACTGTTGTCAGTCCGTGAGGTGTCGAGGGTTGCTTGACGCTTGACAGATAGCTGATAATACTTTCCAAATTCACCATAACTAATGAATAATAATGGATGGGCATTGTAGAGAAAGATCTAGTGTTAAAGCAATTTAGGTGATATGATTTTTTTTATAACCAATAAAACAGAACATAGCATTGAGTTTATGCAACTTTGATAGGAGTGGTTCCACCCTGTGTTCTCTGCCTTTGGTAAGGCTTTGTGATTTGTGCACATATAGTGTTGCCTGTTTTAAAAACTGAACTATTAGTATATAAATGTACACTTACATTTCCATTAACTTTATTTAATGAGATTGTTTTTCAAATCTGCATTGTTTTCAAAGGAAAGGCCATACTCTATTTGGCATTCTAAATTATACTAAGACACCAGGGGGAAGTCGAAGACTTCGGTCTAATATTCTGGAACCACTGATTGATGCTGATAGTATCAACACAAGATTGGATTCTGTTCAAGAGCTCCTTCAGGATGAGGAATGCTTTTTTGGTCTTCAGGCAGGTAAACAAATTCTGCTTTGTAAAAGGAATAAAATAGTTTATAGTTAGATTGGTGCAATGTACAGGTAGTCCTTGACTTATAACAGTTCATTTAGTGACTGTTCAAAATTACAACAGCACTGAAAAAAGTGACTTATGACCATTTTTCACACTTATGACCATTGCAGCATTCCTTTAGTTACATAATCAAAATTCAGGCACTTAGCAATTAACTCATATTTATGACGGTTGCAAGGTACTGAGGTCAGGTGATTAGCCTTTATGGCCTTCTGACATTCAAAGTCAATGGGGAACCAAGATTCACTTAACCATATTACTAACTGAACAACTGCAGTGATTCACTTAACAACTGTGGCAAGAAAGGTCATAAAATGGGACAAAATTCACTTACCTGTTACATTTAGCAACAGACAGTTTGGGCTCCATTGTGGTCGTAAATCGAGGACTACCTATATCATTTTACTTTTCAAAACTTCTGAATGTATTAATTCATATCATTAATAAGTTAGCATTGTAAATAAGTTACCCAGATGTAATAAGTTATCAAGTTAAATATAGGACAGGCATTTTAAAAATTATTTAACCTATGTTTAACTCCAGCGCGGACTTAGTGGCTTTGAGGAATGCCCCCCCGTTCCTGGGAGTGGCCTGTTGGCCTAGCAAAGGCCTACCTTAATGAAGTGTCTTGGGACCCCGAGAGGTGGCATACAGGCTTTAAGGGTTTTTTAAAGGGGACACTGTATTGTTTTTTAACTAATTTTTTAAGGGGATTGGAGAGGGGGGAGGGGTATTGCCGGCAGGTGACTGGGGGGGCTCCGTCGGGCCAGTGTCAGTCCAGGCTTTGGGGGAGAACGGTGGAGGGGGGGCAGGATGGGGGGCCCCGCGGGCCCTAAGGGAAAGGGTGGGAGTTCATATTCCAGTTGTGATTGGGAATGGAGGCAGGTGGATGAACAGAGGGCCATATCAAAACTCGGGAGCTCACCCCTGCTGTCTTCGAGTGGTGGCATGTTCCGACCCTCCTGGTTCTATCCCACTTCCTGGGGGTTTGAGAGAGGAGGACACTGGGCTCCGGTTGGTCTATTTTAATGCCAGGTCTGTGTTTCACAAAGCTCCCCTCATTCGGGATTTGATTGAGGAGGAAAATGCAGACCTGGCTTGCATTACGGAAACCAGGTTGGGCTCAGAGGGAGGTGTCCCTCTGACTGAGCTTTGCCCACCAGGTTTCCGGGTGCTGCACCAACCGAGGGCCCAGGGAAGGGGAGGTGAGGTGGCGGTTGTTATCAGGGAAGCCCTTAGTCCGCGGGAGGTCACTGTTCCGCAGATAGACGGAAGTGAAACCCTCCTCATGAGATGGGGTCCGCAGGGTCAGTTGGGCCTGATGATCACGTACCTATCTCCCAGCTGCGTGGCAGCAGCCCTGCCTGGCCTACTCGACACCCTGTCAGGGTTGATGGTGGAGCTCCTCAGGTTTATGATGCTGGGGGACTTCAACGTGCCTTCCTTAGGCGGGGGTGGCGGGGGTGGCTCAGGAGTTCATGGCATCCACGGCGGCCATGGACCTGACTCAGATTATTCAGGGGCCGATTCATGAGGGAGGGCACACACCCGATCTTGTTTTCATCTCGGAGCAGTGGCGTGTTATGTTGCTTCCCCTCTGTCATGGACCGACCATCATCTTCTCTGGTTGGACTTCCAGAATGCTTCCCCACTTTGCTGGGATGTGGAACCGACAATCTGATTCCGCCCCAGGCGCCTGATGGACCCTGAGAGGTTCCAGACTTAGCTTGGGATGATTCCTCTCTCTCCCACGCCCCGGTCGAGACCCTGGTGGAGGCCTGGAATAGGGCGGCTGCTGGGGCTCTCGACCGTGTCGTGCCTTTGAGGCCTCTGACCTGCTGCAGACCCCGGCTTGCTCCTTGGTATACTGAGGAGCTTCGGGGGATGAAGCGCAGGAGGAGAGGCCTAGAGAGCCGTTGGAGGACTAGTCGTTCCGAACCTGACCGAGCCCACTAAGATCATTTACATGGTCTTACCTGGAGGCGATGGCGGCGAAGCGTACATACTTCTCCGCCCTCATCGCGTCCGCAGATAATCGCCCAACTGCCCTGTTCAGGATATCCCGCTCCCTCCTATATCAGAGGGCAGGGGAGGACCCTTTGTGGGGGCGAGCCGAGGAGTTTAGCCAACATCTGTGGGACAAGATCGCTCAGATTCGGGATGGCTTGGATTCTTAACTGGGCAGGGTCGGACGGTGGGGAGGCGGCAGGTCTTGTTGTCTGGGAAGAGTTCGATGCTGTTACCCCGGAGGAAGTGGACAGGATCATGAGGAAGCTGAGTGCGACCACTTGCATACTGGACCCGTGGCCCTCCTGGCTGGTTTATGCAGCTCGGGAGGTGACACGCAGTTGGATCCAGGCAGTGATAATGGCATCCTTGGATGGAGGGAGTTTTCCCGCCGCCTTGAAGGAGGCAGTGGTTAGGCCCCTCCTTAAGAAACCTGCCTTGGATCCAACCATTTTGGGCAACTTTCGTCCGGTCTCCAACCTTCGCTTTTTGGCGAAGGTTGTTGAGAGCATGGTGGCACGTCAGTTTCCGGTGGCCCTGGATGAAGCAGATTACCTCGATCTGTGCCAATCAGCCCAACAGGCCCAGTTACAGCACGGAGGCGGCATTGGTCGCGCTGGTGGATGTTCTCTGGAGGGCTCGGGACAGGGGTCATTCCTCGGTCCTGGTCCTATCAGATCTCTCGGCGGCTTTTGATACCATCGACCATGGTATCATGCTGCGACGCCTCGAGGGGTTGGGAGTGGGCGGCACCGTTTTACGGTGGTTCGCCTCCTACCTCTCGGGTTGTATGCAAGCGGTGTTGGCAGGGGGGCAGAGGTCGGCCATGAGGCCCCTCACTTGTGGGGTGCCTCAGGGGTCGGTCCTCTCGCCCCTTCTGTTCAACATTTATATGAAGCCACTGGGAGAGATCATCTGTGGTTTTGGGGTGGGGTATCATCAATATGCTGATGATGTCCAGCTTTTTATATCCACCCTGAATCAGCCCAGCGATGCCCTCGACATGATGTCCTGGTGCCTGGAGGCGGTACGGATCTGGATGGGGAATAACAGGCTTCAACTTAACCCGGCCAAGACTGAGTGGCTGTGGATACCAGCATCTCGGGCCGAGCAAGAGGTTCCAACGCTGTCTATTGGGGGCGAGGTGTTGCCCCCTGTAGACTGGACACGCAACTTGGGCGTCCCTTGGATTCACGGCTGAGTCTGGAGGGTCATATCATGGCTGTGACCAGGGGGGCGTTTGCCCAGATTCACCTGGTGTGCCAGTTGCGCCCATACTTGGACCGAGATGCCCTACACACAGTCACTCATGTGCTAGTCACCTCCCGGATCGGCTACTGCAATGCTATCTACCTGGAGCTGCCCGTGAAGACCACCCGGAGGCTTCAGCTGGCACAGAATGCGGCTGTGCGGGTTGTTGCAGGAGAACACAATATTCCCATATTACACCACTCCTGCGCGGCTTGCATTGGTTGCCGGTTGCCCTCCAGGTGAGATTCAAGGTGCTGGTGTTAACCTATAAAGCCCTTCATGGCTTAGGCCCAGGTTATTTGTCGAACCACCTGCAACCAGCGTCAACTTCCCATTGCCTGGTGCTCCCTCACAGAGAGGGCGTACTCAGGGTGCCGTCGGCTAGACAATGTCAGCTGGCGACTCCCAGGGGTAGAGCCTTCTCTGTGAGCGCCCCCACCCTTTGGAATCAACTTCCCTTGGGGCTCCGGTTGGCCCCTGACCTTCGCACCTTCCGCCGTAAATTGAAAACCTGGCTTTTTATGTCCCCCGGCCTGGACTGATGGGGTAGTATATTTAAAAAAAATATTTTTTAAAAAAAACTTTCTTGATTTTTATGTATATTCGTTGTTTTAACAGTCGCTTGGTCGACTGTCGTTGTGAGCTGCCCTGAGTCCTTGGAGATAGGGCGGCATACAAATTTTATGAAATAAATAAATAAAATAAATAAATAAAAATAATGTTTAATTATAGTTCAAGAACAGCAAACAAAGAAATACAAGAGGCTCAGTAAATAAAAAGATAAAGTTATGAAAAAATCCAGAGACAGTGGAAATGAGGTATCAGAGAATTTCAGAAAGGATTTTACAACCTTCTTGGACAATCGATTACGTAAAAGAAAAGCAGTTACTGAATAATCACAGAAGCAATGAAAATTATTGGCCCTTTTCAATTGCCATTGGGTATATAACGAACATTTTAATAGCATATGTGATATAGATTCAACTTCTCTATCGGAGCACAAGCAAGTGCAGGAATTTAATCTATCTGACTAATTGTCATCCTAATTGGTAGTACCCCAGTTCATGTCAAAGTAAAATATCCAATGAGGAGCATGAAATATATTTTTAAAAATGTAGACTGAGGAACAAGGAAGTGATTGCACTGTAAAAAAATATGAAAAATACTAGCTCTATCAGTCTGAATATCTAAATCCCAAATTCTCTGCTTCAGTTCAGCCAGAGTTTAATCAAAGCCAAGAGCAGAGAGTGCTGACAAGTAAGGGCTGCAGTACACCAAATCATTGTTAATTTGTCTCCTTAGGGTAGATCTAAACCTAGCTGGTGATGTGAGATTCGCTCAAAGACTTCCATTAGCCAGAATTTATGTCAGCCAAATTGGACCATTATGTGCATGATCAAAAGGAATATTTATATCTGTAAAAAAGGGGGGGAATAGCACAGTGGCCCACATACAGAATTTAATTTAATTTAATTTTTTTGACAAAATTAAATGTTTACCAAGGCTTTTACATTTCATCAATTGAGAAATTCATTTCTGAACCTCGGAAGGTGAAACTGGAGGTCATTCAGAGTGAGATTCATCAAGAAGCTGGACATGGGCTTTGTTGCCTTGGGACACAGTAAATTACCAAGAAAGTATGTAGTCCAAGTCTCTAGAGATTTGGTATTATTTTCAGAGTTAACTCTGGCTGGAGTTGAGAAGCAAGACTCCAAAACAGAATAATTTTTATTGATGACAGCCCACTGGATGCTTTAGATTTTTCAAATTTGGTGTGTGTGTGTGTGTGTGTGTGTGTGTGTGTTTCCCTTTAAAAGCTTCTTATAGCCCTTCTAAAAGAACTAAAATGTTTCATGTTAGGGAGAATCATTATATATATATATATATAGGCTTTTTTATAAGCTAGAATTACATTTTGAGTCAAAATTGGATCAGTTGTTAAACTGATGTGAAGAAGATTGCTGGGCAGGCTGAGTGTACTTTTTGAGAAGGGTAATGATTCTTTGATAAGTAGAGATTATTTCATGGGGGTTGACTGACTGCACACGGATTGTTTTAGGAGAGTAGCTAATGGGGCAGCAAAAACCAGAAAAAGTGCCATGGACAATCTACTCATCCAAATCACTCTGTTTCCTGTCCAAAGGGATGAATCATTGAATGGTCTTGTTGAGTAGCTAGATTCAATTAAATGAAAAGCAAAGACACCTGTTATTTATATGTGATCATTCTCTGGACAAAGACTGTAAAAATGCTGGAAAATATTTACAGGAAAGGGCGAAGATGTTTGTAATTAGAATTGTCAGACCTGCAGAACACTGCAATAGCACCAAAACAATCACCTCACAATGGTATCTATGTCCATTTTCTTGCTTGCCACTATTCCCTAACCCCCACATCACGTTTATAAGGTATAGTTATTTCATGGTATAACTGGAGAAAGGGAAAAGGGAATGGAGGCAGATAATTTTACATTTGAGCAAATATAACCATAATTTCCACAGATACAGGAAACAGGCCTCGATCTCAATATTGATTATGTTATCACAAATCTAATTTCTGTCCTTTTAATAAAAACAAGAAACTTGAAATACACATATCTTAAATTCAAAACATTTTGAATTTGAATCATTTTGTACATGTGTAGAATGAACCCTAGAATTTAAGTTTAATTGGTTTGTGGATCAAACTAAAAGTTCTGTTTGATTTTTTTTCCAGTTATAGGAAGATTTTTGGACACTGAACAATTACTTTCAGTTTTAGTACAAATTCCAAAGCAGGATACGGTAAGTTTATAAATATTTTTACGGAATACATTATAAATATCTATCAATTATCTGTCTCTATTGCTTGTCTGTTTTAGAGAATTCTGTTCTCATAGAAAATATGAATCAAAACCATTTTCTAAAAAGATTTTCAGATATGAATACACATACATATATACTGTATATGGAGAGATGGTATTTTTATAAGGTGACCAGATTTTAACATTGGTAAAGAGGGACATTGTGGGCGTGGCTTATTTTGTGGGTGTGGCTAGCTGGTTATGTGACTGGGTGGGCGTGGCTAGCTGGTCATGTGACCGGGTGGCCATAGCTATGTGTATAGGGTAAGGTGAACAGATTTTAACATTGGTAAGAAGGACACCATTGTGGGCGTGACTTATTGTGTGGGCGTGGCTTGGAGGCCATGTGACTGGGTGGGCGTGGCTAGCTGGTCTTGTGACCGGGTGGCCATGGCTATGTGTATAGGGACTACTCAGAGGGCTGAAAAGTCATTTCTGACAGGTCCTCACACTTTTGACTGGTCCTCACACTTATGATCATCCTCACATTTATGCCCGCGCAGTATTCTTAACAACCATGTCACTCATTTCACAACTGCTTCTCTTAACCATGGTGACAAGATAGGGCAAAAACGTAAAATGTGAGGACAGTCGTAAGTTCGAGGACTGGTCAAAAGTGTGAGGACCAGTCAAAAATAACTTTTTCAGCCCTCTGAGTAGTCCATATGCACAAAAGGACTAACCAGAGGGCTGAAAAAAGTCATTTCTGACAGGTCCTCGCACTTTTGACTGGTCCTCACACTTATGACCATCCTCATATTTATGCCCATGCAGCATTCTTAACAACCATGTCACTCATTTCACAACTGCTTCTCTTCACCATGATGACAAGATAGGGCAAAAATGTAAAATGTGAGGACAGTCATAAATTCGAGGACTGGTCAAAAGTGTGAGGACCAGTCAAAAATAACTTTTTCAGCCCTCTGAGTAGTCCATCTGCATTAAAGGATACAGCAATAATTTTTTTTTTTTTTTTTAATTTTTGATTTATATGCTCCCTTCTCCGAAGACTCAGGGCGGCTTACAATGTGCTCAGCAATAGCTTCATCCTTTTGTATATTTATACAAAGTCAGTTTATTGCCCCACAAACTGGGTCCTCATTTCACCTACCTTAGAAAGGATGAAAGGCTGAGTCAACCTTGACCTTGGCGAGATTCGAACCCTGCAGTAATTGCAGAGCTGGTCTTAATAAGCTTAATAACATGCCTTAAACCCCTGTAGTACCAAGTAGAGGGATGAAGGAATGGAAATTAGAGTAGGAGTGAGGGTAAGAGAGGGAGGAAGAGAGGAGGAGAAGGAGAAAGGAAGAGGAAGTAGGGAGGAGAAAAAGAGGGTGGGGGGAAGAGAAAGTAAGAAGGAAAGAAAAGAGAGTGGTGGTAGGTTTGAGGAGAAAGATTGCTGTACAATAAAAAAGATGAAAGGGAAGAAAGCCAACCCCAAGCAAATATAAAGATATTAAGATTAAGAATGAATTGTTAAACTTTAAAGAATAAAAGAGAACAAATATGAATAAATAGCAATAATTAGAAACACACATACAAACATACAATGTATTTTCTTTGAACAGAATATTTGGCTGGTTCACAAATTTAAACAGCGTTTAGTCATTTCAATTAAATTTACAATTTCTATATTTCCTTTTTGCCATATTTATTCCTCATCTATTTTTTAAAAAAAACAATATTACCCTTCATCCTCATCTCTAATCTTAATCAAATTCAATTTTTCCCTTCTATTCTATATTATACCCCTTCCCATTGTCATCTATTTTTATATCCATCCTCACATTGGTTAATTATGTAATTATGTAATACAGTTGTTTAATACAAATTCAACATTTTAATATAAATCAATTAGTTATATAACTATTTTTTTTGTATATTAATCAATATGAACATGAATATTCCAATTATTTCCATGCAATCCAATTTCTTACAAATCAATTAATTATATTTACCAATAATAATAAACCAAATAATTTCCCCCATATATTCCTCCAAACCACAACTTAACCATTTCTGCTTTCAACACAACATACAATTATTAATAGTATCTCAATTATTACAATTCCCTAGTTAAATAGAGCTTTTTTTCTTTTGTGTTTTAAAATCTTGAACTCTCCTCTTTTGCCCAAAATTTCCCATTGTTTGCAGTTTTGTACCTACCTTTTTTGGTGAGGAAAAAGAAAAAGAAAAAGAAAGAAATCTCTCTCTGCCTCATTTTGTCACGTTGCAGCTTTACTTTCGCTTCCGCCTTTGTTTTCAGTATAACTAGGGGGAAAAAAATCTGCTCCAGGAACTTTTTGCAGCTTTTTGCAGCTAATTAACCTAGTGGAAGCTGTTAACAGGGGCTGTTTTTTCTATTTTTGCAGGCATGGGTCTATTCATTTTTTTTTTAACACTGATCAGCTGTAGGTCGGCCCTTTGAAGCCCCGTGGCAAGAGTTTAAAGAGTTTTTTTCCCCTCTAGCCATCAGCGGGGATTCAGGAGGCAGCCGGGACTCAGGAGGCAGAATGAAAAATCGGGACTTTTTTAAAACGCCGCGGGACGCGGGACAAATTGCTCAAAAGCGGGACTGTCCCGCCAAAAGCGGGACGTCTGGTCACCTTATATTTTTATCCTTTGCATTGTACTAGAAGTGTTGGATTCTCTCTATATATAATAATTTTTAGCTTGGCAGAACCAGTTACAGTATGATATTACTATAATCTAATATGCACGATAGAATTTATAGTTAGCTGTTTCATTTTCACTAAAGTAAATATACGATTTAGTTTTAATTACACAACATTAAACTCTTTTAAGATCTTTTTGGGTTTTTTTTATCAGTAATCAAATGGTTAATTATTTAGTATTATACTGGACGTCTGTAAAATTCTCTATAAATAATTAGTAGGAAATGACATTATGAAAGTCTTTATTTAAATGAGAAAGAAGAAATAGTTGTTGCTCAACTTGGAAACCACATTGCTCTTTTTTCCTTCCCCTTATTTTCTTCCCATTTTTCTTCAGACGTTGACAGTATGAGATTACCCAGTGTTAATACCAGAGGGATGCCCTGTAGTATAACACTGCCAAGCTAAAGGCTCTAAGAACGAACAATTCATTGGAGAAAGCCGAAAATATCTTTTAACATTTCTAACATGCTAGCTCTGATTATTGTGCTTACAAGGAAAATAGTCATGACAGTTAAGCACAAATAACTATGATAATAAACAGTATCTAGGGCTGTTTTTTATTGTACCAACAATAACCTGATGTGTTTTTAAAATAGGTTAATGCGTCTGAATCAAAGATAACCAATTTAATTTATCTGAAGCATACTTTGGAACTTGTGGAGCCTTTGAAGGTATTATATCCTAAAATACTATGTAAATCCCAATTATGGTTATAATTTCATTAATTCTCAAATCAAGGAATATACACTATTAAGTCAGGACTTTACACTATACAATATACCCCAGTACACAGTCACACACTATACTCTCAGATTGTCCAATCCCTGTATATTTACGTGCTGCACTGTCTACTCATTGCTTGCAGCTATCTGATAACCATAGGTTTATATATGTGTGCATAAGAAGACAGATTAAAAATAGGTGGAAGGAAATTCAGAATCTTTGCCCAAAACATATCAAATCAGGTGGTCCTTGATTTACGACCACAAATTTTGGAGCCCAAAATTTATGTTGCTAAGTGAGACATTTGTTAAGTGAATTTTTTCCTATTTTATGATGTTTTCTGCCACAGTTGTTAATCACTGCAGTTATTAAATTAGTAACATGGTTGTTAAGATAATCTGACTTCCCCATTGACTTTGCTTATCAGAAGATCACATGACCCCAGTACACTGCAACCATTATAAATATGAACTAGTTGCCAAGTATCCGAATTTTGATCACATGACCATGGGGATGCTGCAACGGTCATAAGTGTGAAAAATGGTCATAAGTCACTTTTTTCAGTGCTGTTGTAACCTTGAACGGTCACTAATGAACTGTTGTAAGTCAAGGACTACCTGTATTCTCTTGTAGTGAAAATGGTACATCATAACTACCCCTCCATTACCAATATATCTTTTCCAAGCTGTCAAACTGAATTCTTTTATATAGCAAGAAGGCTATCTGTTTTCCTCAAAATGATCATATGGAAAAGTTACATACCGTAATGCTTCAAAGGCATTTTACAGATAATATTGTTCATATATTTTCCATAGAAGCTGGGAAGAAGTGGCCTGCCTGCATATAGAGAATCTTTGATTGAGATTCTCTATAACCTTTAGAACCAATCTGTTCTATAACCTTTATGCTTGATTCTTGTCATTCATGCTTGCTTAAAAGTTCATACTTGGAGGAATTATTATCTGGTAAATAATTAATACCTCCTTCAGGAAAGGAATAGTCACTTTATAACTGCTGTAGTCCTGATCACTCTTGTGGAATATCTTAGCCAGAAGAACATCAGATGTGGAATCTTTTGATCATGTTTTTAGCTGCCCGTGCAAAAATACAAGCTTAGCCAATTAGCCATGTCCTAATAACATATAGATAGAGCTACTGCAATTGTTTGATAATTTGCTCCTATGAAAATTCATAGAACTGATTTTAACCTTTTAAAATTCTAAATAGGTACAGAACTATCATTGTGCGCACATACCTATCAGGCAATTAATAGATCTATTAAACTATGATATATATCAAAACTATCTTTTAGAGTACCTGCTTGGTGGGTCTTCATTTCCTGAAATAAACTGGATAGTAACAACTATCAATATTTATGAATCAGGATGTCTTGTCATGGCATTCACTTCTTCTGCCAGGACGCAGTTTTTCTTTGTTTAACACATGAAAGCTTTTCAATATAATTTCATTAAGGTAAACTAATTAACAAACCGAAGGTATGACTGACACAACAGGAATGCAAACAACAGGAATAATGTAACTTCCTAGCTAATAATATGATAATTTACAAAGAAAAAAGGGAGAGTCCTGGAAAAATTTTTTAAAATGACATATTGCTCAGAAGCCATCTTCTTTCTTTTATCAAAAAATTAGCTCTTCTAAATGAAAATTGACAGAAGATCAGTTATTTTCTGCAAATCAGGTGCAGATTTTGCCTTTGACAGTTGTATGATGATTTTTTTTTTGTCAGCTCCTGAGCTCCTGTTTTGATACATTCCAAATACTAATACAGTTAGTGGTATATCTTATGATATAGCTAAGAATATATGCAACTTTAATAACAATAGCATTTATATACCACTTCACAGTGCTTTACAGCCCTTTCTAAGCTATTTACAGAGTCAGCATATTGCCCCCAACAAGCTGGTTCCTCAGAAGGATGGAAGGCTGAGTCAACCTTGAACTAGTGAGACCTGAACTGCCAAACTGCTGGCAGCCAGTGATCAGCAGAAGTAGCCTGCAGTACTACATTCTAACCACCATTAATATGATTCAGAGTCATTTTACTCATTTATATTATAAAACAATACTAGAACAAATCAAAATCATGTATTAATGTTCTAACACCTGAGTTGCATTTCTAATAACGAGGATTTTAAGCAATTCAATACTGTCTTCTTCAACATATTATTGATTTATACAGATATATTTTCTTCAATTTATATTTTATTATATTGATATAGATAATATTTTTAGCAATGTTTTGGTTTAGGTAATCATTTTTGTGGTGAAAGTGGCATGAATCAATTTTAAAAAGTGATTACTTTTTAAATTACTTGGTTGATACTATTTAAGCCAATTCTTTTGTGCATATATTTATTATATTGTAATTTTTGATTTACTTATATTTTAAATAATTTTATAAAATAAAGTTATATTTCTTTCCATCCAAACCTTAGTGAAGTAAGATAGTAGTACATTAAAATTCTTGTACTCTTGTTCATAGAGATTTTAATTTTATTTAAACAGGAAGCCTTAAAAAGCTATAAGACGCCATTGTTAAAAGCTTATTATAGCTCTTTGGAAGATAGCAGGTACTATATTATAAATACAGTTTTATATCTAACATTTTACATTAGACAATAAAAGTTAAAGTTACTACTCATTGTAATTGTTGCTATTACTCATGTCAAAAAATATAGTAGTATTTAGATTTAAGTAAGTAATTATTAACTTGTTTTAAACATATCTATCACAGTGAAACTTTAACTAACTAAAGAATCCTGACAAAAATAGTATCATTTGAAGAAAAATAGTTTTTCAGATAATAATGAAAAATAAATATTGCATTAGGCAATTCAACCTATATGAACATAGTGAGATTATAAAAATATATTATCTGAGTTGGGATAAAAAATCTTTTAGGCAGTTAATACAGTGTGAAATATAACTGTCATTTCCACAATTATGTATAATTTCTCTAGGTTTGGGATCATTCTTGAAAAGATTAAAACTGTTATTAATGATGATACAAGATACACAAAAGGATGTTTGAATATGAGAACTCAAAAGTGCTATGCGGTGAAACCTAATATTAATGAATTTCTTGATATAGCACGAAGAACCTACACTGAAATTGTGGATGATATAGCTGGTATGGGAAGACAATTTAGAACAATAATTTACTAGAATATATTTGTTTGTTTATTTGTTTGTTTATTATTAAATGTACTTGCCACCATCTCGCCATGGGGCTGGCTTACAACAGTAGAACGTAAAATTATAAAACTTTAACAATGAAACAATAAAAATAAATATTGAAATTACAGCAATATATACTCTTTAATAATTTACAATATAGTTCGGAGTTGGTGCATTCAGAAGTATGTGCCTTACAAATAAATATATGAAGGTATATTTAAGGAAATGCAGTCTTAAATTTTAAGTGTTTATGTCAAATAAGAAAATTATTTAAAGATTATAAAATGTTATTCACATTGGGCAACATCTCCTAGAATATTCTTCTTTCATTACTATTTTGAAATAAATGGGAATTGTGTCATTGGTCCTATGCAACCAAAGCTTTAAGAATTTCTTTATATTTGTTACCTAGCTGACAAATGAAAAAAAGTGATATCAGAAAGAAGCGAGCATAGAGTAGGTGATAAATAGAGGCATATATTAGAATAGAATAGGAAGGAGAGTTGTGAAGGAGAAATTTACATGTCAGATAAATTTGTTTTTTATGGATCCTTCCTTCCTTCTTTCCTTCCTTCCTTCCCTCCCTCTCCCTCCCCCTATTTTGAATTTATTTGCGGGAAAGGGTTGTCATATGAATTTTCCTTATGTGGAGAAAAAGTACAAAAAGACTTTTCAGGATTTAACACCTTTTAAAGAAGAAAGCTGTTACATATTGTATAATTATAAAGAGGAATAACTCATGAATTACTTCTTGAATTATAATTACTAATTGCCCCAAGGAAAGTTCTAAAAGTTCAGATGGAAGAAGTTATGTACTTGTTACTATTTTTTTTAATTACTTTCCACTCATTTTTATGACATAATACTAATACAATGCTATTTTGCTATTTTTTTTAAAAAAAATACTACATTATTTTCTGATATTAATATGAATTAATATACTGATTAATTTTAGTGCCCATACAATGTGGTTGACTGTCATAACTAAAATATTTATTTATACCTTGCAATTAAGGAATGATAACACAACTTGCAGAAAAACACAACCTTCCTTTGAAAACAAGCTTTAGTTCAGCTCGAGGATTTTTTATCCAGATGAGTGCTGATTGTGCAGCAGTACACAGTGGTCAACTTCCTTCAGAATTTACCAAGGTAAGCAGTTTGACAATGTTGGATCTCAAATCTATTATTTTATTTTTATTTATTTGATTTTCATCCTGTGTTTAGTACTTTATAAGTAATTCAAGGCAGCAGACATACATAATTCTCCTTCTTCCGCCTATTATTGCCACAACAACAGCCTCGTGAGGTGGGTTGGCTGAGAGAGTGACCGGCCCAAAGTCACCCAGCTGGCTTCTATGCCTAAGGCACTAAAATTATAATTTAACTAATGTATTTTTTTCACTAAAGAATACTGTTGATTTTTATAAAAATAACTATAATGAAACAAATTGTATTTTTATTTTATTATTGCCATAACCAGAGTAATTTGTATAGACTGAATTGTCTTTGTAGTCTGTTTTCAGTATTTGTGTAATGTTATAGCACAGTTTAATAGAAGGTACTGACTGAATGTTGCTGCCTTTGTATATCAGGACTGGAATAAAAAATATTTTATCATTTATTACTATTTATTTTTTTAATAATGAACAGTGTTACCATCATAACTTACTAATGCTTTACTTTTGTGTTCTTGCTCTGTTACTAGTATAATTAGCTGAAAGTTTAAAAGTAATCAAGATATTTCTATTTTATTTTATTTTATTTTTATTTTATGATCATGATTATGATTTATCACTTGTTGCTTGCATGTTGCTTGCATGTCCACTGAGAGCTTATGCACTGGAGACAAATTCCTTGTGTGTCCAATCATACTTGGTCAATAAAGAATTATATTCTATTATAAAGAATTCTATTCTATTCTATTGTATTTAATCACACACTTTAGAGATAATTTTTGGTTGATTTTTTGGAATTAGGAGTATGACTATTCAATATATTTAATATATTTTAATGTTCAGTTTGAAAATTTCCCACAGATTACTAAAATGAAAAATGTATATAGTTTTACTTCACCCGATTTAATGAAAATGAATGAAAGATGCCAGGAATCCTTGAGAGAAATCTATCACATGACTTACTTGTGAGTAACAATTATATTGATTATTCTAAGTAGAATCACTGTGTTAAATGATCATTTAATAATGAGGCTTTTAAAATTATAGACTATAAAGTTTTTAAGACAAGGACTATGCCTCAATTCTGGAACCCAAACATCTGGCTTTTTAGAAGTTTTAGGACCCTTTCCTGTCTTTATGATTCAGTCTCTACTTCAGCCTTGATGCTTGTTGTACAGTATACATAATTTAGATGCCTGTTAATTAACAGATACCAAAATGGTGCTACATATAAGCAAATACAGTACTGTAGTGTTTTGAGTGCGTTTCATCTGGCCTTCCCAGAAAAAAAAACATTTTTATTTATTTATGTTTTGCATTTCTGGACTGGCCATTTCCCTCAAAGAGGGATTCTGGCACTCTTTTATCAGCAGCCTCTACCAAAGAAATGAAATATTATTGAAAACTTAGAATTTTGAAGGCAAGAAGTCTCTTTAGAGCCACCTTGTGTCATCTGTACCAACTGTCATTGGTCTTTTGGCAAACTGTATAACAGACACACAAGTGACATATCCTTGTGTGTGAGTATGTGTGTGTGTGCATGTGTTTATACACACACAAACACTCCAAAAGTAATTTAAACACAAACCAGAAGCAATAAAAATAGAGGTTTTGTAAGTTTGGTTTCCCCTTTTAGAACGAAAAGTTTTCTTTGATAATTAGATCAATTAGATCAATTCTTAGTGTATTCAGGGAAGAGTGCATGTGCAACTGAACATTTCATTCACTTCTTTATGATTTTAGATTATATTCCTTGGCACATTAACCCACGAACCCTAAAAATGAATTTTGCACTTCAGATTTTTGAATCTGAAAATCTCTGATAGTAAAGTGTAGTTTCATAAGATAACCAAACCCCTTGTATACCGGTACTACTTTATTTCTAATATTTGCAAAATATTTTCAGACCTAATTGTTATTCAGTTCTGATAATGTATGATATAATAATGTAGTTATTTTGTGCCACATAAATTATATTAACAATTTTGTTTAAATATGTAATTTTTTTCAATTATGTAAAGGAAAATTTTTTAGTATATAATGATACGTTTACTAATAGTAAATTACTTTAAATGGTAAAATAATACTTATCCTTGTTTTCAGGATAGTGTGTAAACTATTGAGTGAAATCTATGAGCATATCCATTGCTTATACAAACTCTCTGACACTGTCTCTATGCTAGATATGTTGCAGTCATTTGCCCATGCTTGCACACTGTCTGATTATGGTAAGTAATTTCGTTTCTTAAAACAACTCCCACTGAAACTTATACCACTTATTTTTTTTAACCATATCTACAAAGTAATTAGCTACAATAGTTCTTGTTTTTTAGCAACTGCTTAGTGACAATGCACAGTTACAATGGTGATCAAATTTAAAGGGTTTTTTTATGCTCAATCTTCACATGGGCATCACAAGTATGGCCCCCCCCCCCCCCCCCAAAAAAAAAAAAAAAAGCTGAAGTAAGATCATAAGCACAGTTGCAGTTTCACTTAGTGATCACTTTGCTTAACAACTTGCTGGTCTTAATTGTAGTTGGTAAACGAGGACTACTTGTAATAACATCTAATATAATGCAAAGAACTACTTAAGTAATGTAAAATAATTAAACAATAGTATCGAGCATAATCTAACCGCCTCATTGAACAACTGCATCAGCATGCAAGTTCCTAAGATGTATTTTACAGTACTGTCCTATTATGACAGCCCATACCTTAACTATAGGAATTCTTTGGTACACAGATTAATATTTGGGTAAAATACTATTGTTCTATTATAACAAAGTTAAAGATAGAATACATAATATTTGAAAACCTTCTTGGAAGGATCTTAATAGTGTTGATAAAGGTTGAGGTGTGAACATATTGCTCTCCAGCTATTCCACAATTCTGTCATTGGAAGTTTCTTGGAATATCGTATCTCAAAAGAAATATATTTCAGAACAGCAATTTCCAATCATTTTGTTTGATTGTATTGTATTCCTGCCACAGCTTCTGTGTTCTAAAATTACGCAACTGGCAAATTATATAGTTAGACTTATTGAATTAATTAAGATTTAAATTTGAAGATATTGCATATATGTTAAGATACACAAGTTTCACTTTTGTTTAATTTAGGTGCAGGCAGTGGCGCACCTAGCATATTTGATACCTGAACTGGATCATTTTTAACAGCCCCTTCCTTTATTGTTGAGAGCCAATTTGTTGAGAGCCGATTAGCTAAGGTGTCAGATTAGAAACCAAGAGAATATAAATTCTAATCCTACCTTAGTTATAAAGCTGGCAAGCCATTTCTGAAAAACGCTGCCAGGAAAACTACAGGGGACAATTGCCGATTGCGACTTGAAAGCAATTTTTCCCCCTTCATCTCTGTTGTGCTACCACCCATTGCCAAACAGCAGATTGGCATGAAGGCAGTAACAACTCTACACCCACTGCTAGCCTCTTTATGTTTCAAAAAGCATTCCCTTTATTGCCTGCATCCAGGGTGGACCACACACACATGGCCCTCCTTGGCACACTACTGGCTGGAGGGCTGTGTAGTTTTGTGAGAATAAGTTTTAATGAAAAAAGGCACTTGTTTACCTATATATAGGATTGCATTACTCCTAAAATTTTACATGTTCTGCAAATGGTAATATTAAAAATGTAGGAATAGTGCAACTTACACATTGTTTACATTACATAACATGTACATTTCTGGATGGTTCATAAACCAGCTTGTGTTACAATATACTTGTCAATAATAAATGAGTATTAAAAAGTTTTATTATATTTCTTTCTTCTAGTACGTCCTGAGTTTACAGATACTTTAGCAATAAAGCAAGGATGGCATCCAGTTCTTGAAAAAGTACATTTTGAGAAACCTGTCCCCAATGATACCTATATCACAGAAGGAAGTAATTTTATAATAATTACAGGACCAAATATGAGTGGAAAATCAACCTACCTAAAACAGATAGCCCTTTCTCAGATTATGGCACAAATGGGTAAATAATAGCTTCTCTGAATATATAAGCTAAAGTGAGTTCAAGTGCAGTAAACCTATGAATATCTGGCATTTGTTTTGTTCCTCTATTTAATCTGCAGGTTCTTTTGTTCCAGCAGAATATTCTTCTTTTAGGATTGCTGAACAAATATTTACCAGAATAGGTATGGATGATGATATAGAAACAAATTCATCAACATTCATGAAAGAAATGAAAGAGGTATTCATTTGATTGAGTTAGAGATTGTTAGTTACTAAATGGCCTTGATTCATATTTAATTGATTCATAGGATTTATATTCATAAACAGATGTTAGATGCAGTTAGATCAAAATGATACCACGTGTATCATGATGTCACCATATAAATGTGGCATATGTGATATCTGTGTCCTTTTGCTTCATTTGATACAAAAAATGAATGAAAGCGAATATATGTGTCTCAGAATAATGTTGCAGGATCCAATCTGGATTGGTCACAGCACACACTCTTCTAGGGAGAAGTTCCCCGAAGTCGGGCTTCAGCATGAGTCCAAAAACTCAGAAGCAAAACCTCTCATCCCAATCACCCTGACCCAGATTGGATCCTGCAATCCAAAACAATGCAAATATCTTAACTACTATTATTAATATTAATTTTAATAATATTAATATTATTAACTACTGTTGTTATTTTTTGCTTTATTATTTTAATGGTAGTAGTAGTTCGTTAGCCATACAGACTCATCTCTGGACAGGATGGGTGGCACATAAATTAAATAACTAAATTGGTGTAATGAATTACACATTTGTATTGCTTTGTATCATATTTGTGTCATGACATTGACATCATGACATAGATAGCTTTATGACCTATTTACTTCCCTTACCTACAGTCCCTTGTCTGCACCCTTGAAAATAACTTTTTCAGCTAATTATACATATTTAATTTTATTTTTAGGAAAAATGTTTAAACAGACACAAAACCTCCAAATTTTGTAGGGGGTACAAATTTTGTAGGGGGTACAAATCCATATGTTAAGGTATAGTCCAGGAAGGCTTATGGAAAAGATACAATAATGAGAGAAACAGCAAGTAAAAAAACAGCAATCACAATAGCAATCAAAATGGAGCATTCTTACCTACTACACACAGATATGTTATGCTTCTCTCAGCATTCCTCCTTGCCTCCTGTTTAATAGCCTAAACATATTTATTTATTTTATTTATCAAAAACTTTTTTTTTTAATTTGATTTATATGCCACCCTTCTCCGGAGACTCAGGGCGGCTTACAATGCGTTAAGCAATAGCCTTCATACTTTAGTATATTTATACAAAGTCATTTTATTGCCCCCACAAACTGGGTCCTCAATTTACCTAGCTTAGAAAGGATGGAAGGCTGAGTCAACCTTGAGCCTGGTGAGGTTCGAACTTACAGTAATTACAGACAGCTGGTGTTAATCACAATGCTATCAGTCTGCTGAGTCACTAGGCCCTATTTGCTGCCCATCTCTTGGTTCAATGTGACTCTGACAAGCATTGGATTCTGACAAGCTACTTTTCATCAATCTTGGTATGCAATCTTGTTATGATTTAGAAAACAGTTTGGGAAGGAGTCTAGTTCTTGAGCAGTTTTAGATTATAGAAGTTCATGCCCAATTCTTGGTACCTTTATCCATCAGTCATACTTTGATTTTCTCCTGATCTTTGGCATATCATTGTTCTAGTCCACCTAAGCATACAGGGTCCCTTTTAATGCTGTAAAGCATTTGGATTGATTATATGCACTTTATTAGATTGAATATTTTATCATGTAATTCATTAAGCTCATTATCCATCATAATCACTGGAAGGGGTCATTTGCTGGGCAAACCTGCAAAGTAACTACTTTCTTTTCAAGCAGGTTTTAATGGTTCAGTTAAACCTTATTTGCATTCAAACTACACTTTGAACAGGTTTAATACATACAGCATTGAATCCTAAATTTTTACTTCAGTCTTATTGTTTGAACTGTGATCTAACTTGCTAGAAGTTGCTTCATACATAAATGTGAGTGGAATATATGATTATCATGATTTCTACATTGATGATGTCTCTTTTTGAGGATGTGTCATGAATTTAGAAATTTAGATCAAGCACAGATCTTGCTGAACCTACCACTACATGCAAAGAATTAATCAAAGATGATTGCTGTACTGTACAAGCATTTCTTTTCAATTACTCCAGCATCGCAAAAGATCGGCATACAGCATAAAGTTATGCATGGCATTTGCTTTTGTGAAAATTGAAACTATTGTGAATGCAGAGAACTTTAGAATTGGGCTGTTTGTGCTGATTAATGATTTGTTTTTAGGTGGCAGCTGGTTGACTGTTACTAAACTAAATTTCCTGACTGGGGTTTTGAGCAGGAAATGAAAATATCTATTAGCAGGATTTATCCACACATGGAATATTAATAATGAAATTTGATGTCTCTTTCATTAGGTAACATACATCATACAAAATGCTAATGACAGATCACTTATCATAATTGATGAGCTTGGCAGAGGTACCAGTCCTGAGGAAGGCATTGGCATATGTTACGCAGTCTGTGAATATCTTCTAAATTTAAAAGTAATATTAATTTTTAAATCACTTTTTCCTATACCTTCTGCTATTTTTCCCTGTTTCAATAATTCAATTCAGTTGTTTCGTTTTGCAGGCATTCACACTCTTTGCTACTCATTTCCTGGAATTATGTCAGATTGATAACTTATATCCCAATGTGGAAAACAATTACTTTGAAGTGCAGCATGTAAGAAGCAGTTGTGAAATTAGGGAGAAAATTGCTTATACTTACATTCTTTCTAAAGGATGCACAGAGGAAAAAAATTATGGTAATAGTCCTGATTCATTAAGGCTTATGACAACACACACAAGAAGGTTTCAGTATATGATTTGCATATGCGGAAGGGATCATCTAGCATAAGAGTTTGCACATGCAATTTTAGCTATATTTGGAACAGTATGCTTTTATTTAAAAAAACAAGACTATTAATATTTTATGATGTGTTCCTTATTGAGTCTAGCGACTGTTATTAGCCTCTCCATTTTGCAAGATGTTTTATTTCTTGTCATTAACCAATATTTTTCTCATTGTGGCATTCAAAATATTATTGGGAATAGATGAATTTATGCTAGGGCTCCATAAGTTTTCATGGGCCAGGGTTAGGGTTAGGGTTAGGGTTAGGTTCTAGTTCCATCAGTCTAGTTCCATCATTCTGTTTTATGTTGACATGTATACATACAAGAGTTAAATTTGTTAGCATTTAGATTAGGAAAGAAATGAAATGCATGAAATACAAGCTGTAATAATTATGCTGTGCATGCTCTGTTCATTTTCTTGTCTCTTGGTCTCAGTAAAACAGGTGTCTCTCAAATCCATAACAGAGTTTACAGTTTAAGTTGTGGAAAGGCTGCTGATCTGGAAATTGCTATAATATTTAATATATTTGAGCCTAGGTAGTTATTCTATAGGATTCAGAATATAATATCACAACTCTGATATGGACAGCTATATAAATTTGATAAATAATTAAATGAAATGGGTTCTTGGCAGATTATAGTATTTAGAATGGAAAATGGAGAAAAAAGAATATGTAGATTTGTTTTTAAAAATATAGAAATCTGTTGTCGGCATTGTGCTTTTGAATTCATAAACATGATTAAAAAATAGACCCATAAAAGTATGTCATGTTGTTTAGTATTCTTGTCTTCCCGATTTACTTGAACTCTCACTTTAGTTTAAAAAATGTTCTTAATTCTGATCTGCAAGCCTACTTTAAATCCTGTTTAAAAAGGAAATGTGCCAAGATAACACTGACTCATGGTTAAGATTAATAATAGGAAGGAAAGAGTTTGAATTGCATTTGATCTGGTGTTTTCAAATCAGACATTTTTATTAAACAGCCTTATCTTTCACAGTAAAGAAAATGGCTTCATTTTCTTTTTTACATTTAGGCTTGAAAGCTGCAGAGGTTTCCTCTCTTCCGTTATCAATAATATTGGATGCCAAGAAGCTAGTAACTCTTATTGATAAACAAATGATGGTATGTATTATTAGCACATACAGGGTGGGTTTTTTTTCATTTTATATGCTATTATTAACATGCTTACTTTTTATTGAATTTTGTTGAAAAAATATTTTGAAATGTGCTCTCTACATTTTTTGTAGTGACATGTGAAACAATATACAATATGAATAAAACCACAGAAACCACAGACATATCAGTAAATCTGGCAATAAAAGAAAAATGGCTTCATATATATTTAGCCACAAAGTGTTAAAGCCTTAGATTTAAATCCTAACCTGTACTAAACTTTGATTTGTTTAATCATATTTCCTCAATGCACTAAGCATAATACAGTTTGCAGATCAAAGGCTGGATTCACTCAACTCAACTCAACAAATCATATTATGTTTCAATACAATAAAGGCAGGGAGGAATATTTGGTCCTCATCCAATCCAATTCAGTATTGCATTGGCATTATAGGATGGAATGACAACATCTCTGACAGATGGCTCTATAGAGTCAAGACTTCACAGGCAGTGCTTTTCAAAGCTAAAGATTCCTATTATTAAAAAACGTTTTCCAATGTTTAACTGAAAACTGCTTTCTTGTAGCTTCAGTCCTATAGTTTTACTACTACCTTCAGAATCAACAGAAGGTTTGGTACCTCTCAGATTTTTAAGACTGCTATTGTATTTTCCTTAACTATTCAGGCTAAACCTACCAAGCACTTAAAATCATTTCTTTTAGGACTTGTTTTCGAACCTCCTTTACCACTCTGTCCATCCTTTTGATGTTTCTCAGGTTGTCAATGTCTGTCTTGTAACAGAGTACAACAAAGCATCTGATTGATGGAGAAGAGAGCAGAAAAGATATCATTGTCTATGATCTGAATATTATGTATTTTGTTTATGTATTAACATTTTTAGCAGCTGCTGCTGTTTCTCATGTACTGCTTCCAATTTATCAAAACTCTCACGTTTTGTTTTTTTACATAAGAAAATACAATGGCTTATTTTCAAGTCTTGAATTTTATTTCTGTTTTGTTTTGTTTTATTTTTATTTTGTTGATTTTAGATCAATATTCTAGGATCCCAAGATCATTTTGAATACTATTATTTCCTACCTTTATTTTATCTGAAGTTCTGACAAATAGCCCCTCTTTTAGATCATTTAGAAAAATGTTGTCAATCATAATCTTGCAAGCTTGCATTTAGATAGATGTCCAAGCTGGCAACATCCATTAACAAGCGGATAAAACTAAATATTCTCTAATCATAGACTAATCCTTCATCATTACCTTTTCTTGTCTGGATTAAAGCTCAAATGGTTACAATCAGTACTGCCATTTATGCTGGATTAAATACTGCTCCTCTATCTTGTGAAAATGACATAAATCTTTGTCACAAATATGGCAGCATAGAGCTTCAAATCCACATTTATGTGTTTACTCAGGAAATTACCAGCCAGAAGACTATATCGCATAATGTCAAAACCTTGCAGCACAATCTTCTGGCAGGAAAGTTATTTTGATAACATGCTAGTTTTTTTTTCTTTTTGTTGACAAACTATCTCTATCAGATAGAGCAGTCTAATATTTCAAGCTTTTCTATTAACCAATGACCCGCAACCCACTTAATGACTTTAAAAAAACTTTTAAACTTTTCTGTGAGAATGCAGGGCCCTCTTACCATTGACATGGCAAAATTTTGGTAGTTGTATCAACCTTTCATTATTTTGACAGAATGTGTTTATTTTTCACAGCTCATTAAAAAAGGTGGACATCATGACATACTTATAGACCAAACAATATTATATAACAAAAATGGGAGGATTCCCAAATCATTATTTGGGAGCTCCATCATTACGGGAGCTCCCCATTACTCCCGGGTAACACCTCTCCTACGCGAGCTGCACTGGCTACCAGTGGTCCTCTGGATCCGCTTCAAGGTGCTGGTACTTACCTTTAAAGCCCTACATGGCTTAGGTCCGGGGTATTTGCAGGACCATCTCCTACCCACTTCCCACCGTCCTGTCCGCTCTCACCGGGCTGCCCTCCTCAGGGTACTGTCGGCCAGACAATGTCGGCTGGCAACGTCCAGGGGTAGAGCGTTCTCTGTAGGCACCCCTGTCCTCTGGAACAAGTTACCCACCGAGCTTTGAACGGCGCCTGATCTCCGCTCCTTCCGTCGGAATTTAAAGACTTGGCTTTTCCAACAAATGGTTGACCCTGATCCTTGGGTTTTATTATTTTGATTGTTGTTGTTTTAATCTGGGTTTTAATCACCTTACTTTTTATTATTGTATGTTTTTAACTTGTGTTCGCCGCCCTGAGTCCTTAGGGAGAAGGGCGGCATATAAATTTTTGGTAAATAAATAAATAAGTAAATAAATTATTTCCAGCACTGTTGCAGTATCTATATTTGCAGGAGAGAAAGAAAGCAAGCTGGCTTTCCCTCCCCCCCCCCCATACTCTAGTTATTGTCTGCAAATGGTTGCCCCATAAAAGTTTCCCAATATAATATAGGAGCTGGAGATTCTTGTAAATAATAATAAAAAAATGGATACCTAAGTCAGCCAATCTTCCAATTATCCATTGCCATTCCTGCTGGCAATTCTATTCAACTAGAGTTTTGAAGGATAATATTGGCATCTTCTTTTTCCTATGTAGACCACATTCATCACATTCTCCAGGACTGGAGTACTGCCATTAGTATGCCATACAGGTAATCCTTGACTTACAACCATTTGTTTAGTGACCGTTCAAAATTACAACAGCACACAAAAAAAGAAGAAGATGACTTATGAACATTTTTCACATTTATGGCAGTTGCAGCATCCCCATAGCCACGTCATGAAAATTTGGATGCTTGGCAACTGATTCGTTTTTATGATGGTTGCATCGTCCTGTGTCATGTGATCACCTTTTTGTAACCTTCTGATAAGCAAACTCAATAGGGAAGTCATATGCAATTAACAACCATGTTTCTAACTTAATATTGCAGCGATTCACTTAACTGTGGCAAGAAAAATCATAAAACGGGGTTAGGTTAACAATTGTTGCTTAGCAATGAAAATTTTGGGATCAATTGTGGTCATAAGTCAAGGACTACTTGTATTCAGAAAAGGGGATAAGAGTGCTTCAATCAACTAATGTCCTCTAGCTTTGCTGAGTGCTATTAGCAAACAGGTATAAAATTTGGCTAGAAACAGAAACAATTTGGAGCAATGAGCTAGAGGGTTTTCATCCCAGCTATTTCCCTTCAGATCGTGTCTTGTTCCTACAAACTCTTACTCTAAAGTTTAGCGGCAAGAATAGATTTGCATCTTCTACGGTGATTTATATACTGACACTGTGAGCATCCTAAACATTCAGATTTTAATATGTGTGTGTCCTTTTAAATAAACAGCAGCAGCAAAGAACAGATCCTGAAATATTAAAGGAGAAGGCTATGTATCACTTAGCAAATAGATTGATTCAGACTGCTCGCAACTCTCAACTGGATCCAGACAGCTTGCGAATATACTTGAAAGGTTTGAAGAAAAAGTACGAAACTGATTGCATTGCCTCTGAACAAGTAGCTGCAGATGTTAGATGACCATAAATCATGTACACACCATTCTGCAGAATTAACTAATCCAAATACAGTTAGAACTAAAAATATATCTACATGACCATTATTTTTTATAAGTAACTATATATCTGGAGAATTCTTTTCTAATATATAGTTGTTATATTTTAATTGCACAGTAAATGCATTCTTAATTAAATGGAAAATATTAACAAGAACATATAATGAAATTATTACTTTAAATAACGTCACAAAAATTAAGATTAACTGAAAGCTTTTATCTACAAAAGATCTCATCACATTTTTAAAAAAAAACTGTATTGATCCATTAATACCATTTATAAAAAATGCAGTATTAGACAAACAAAAGAACTGTTTTTTGTCCAAATGTAGGCTGAAAGAGAAAGAGAACAAAACAACAATTTGCTAATCACTTTATTTGAGACTTAGAGATATCTGTTCATTTTAGGCAATCTAGATGTGATCACTTAATGAATATTTCTGTTGGCTTTTTTAATGATTTTTTTTTACTTTCTTGTATTAATGTTAAAAGAAAATAAAATAAAAATGTAAACAAATCTGAACATTTATATAATGTTCATATTATATAGTTTTATTAAAGTTTGATTGTGACCTTACCATGAGCGTCATTATCCTGTTTAAATCAACTTTTTTACTTTGCTCCAAATTTTGTAGAACCATTTGTATGTTTCAGTAGAAGAGAACATTTGTAGTTTAGGGTTGATGATGTTACCTAGTTTGGTAATGAAATATTGCAATAAAAGCACTAAGCTCAGAACACCAAAGACCTAAGATTTATTTGATTGATGGATTTCTGTACCTACCCATCTCAACAAGTGAGTCTTGTGGCAGATATTGTAAAAAATAATTTAAAACATTAAACAATACAAAATAAATATATATGCTCACTGAGTAAAACTTAATGTTTTAATGCAGACAAGAAACAGGCCCCTTAACATATTGGGACCTCAGATATTTCCTATAACTATCAGGAGAATATTAAGCAGCTGTTTGAAATATAAAAGCAATATCTATATATTTTCTGCATATTTTGTTATAAAAATGTATTTTGTGGATATATAGAGGGTGATCTTCTAGGAAGCAGATTATACAGGAAGCAGTAATACTTTTTGTTATGCTTAGACCTTGTGGCAGGATTAAAATAAGCTCTTTTCATATTGAAGTATCATAATAGCAGTATTTCTTTGAAATACAATTATGGCAATTTAAGTGCATGCAAAGAAAATAGTGCTGCCTCAGCTGTTTTTAATGTGAATATGAAGCACACACCAGAAATACAAAAAAAAAAAAATGGAAATATTAAAATTCAGCTTTTTCTTTTTACAACAAAGCTGTATGACTGTAGAATATGTTGGCTGCTGGGGGCAGGTATTAAACTTCACTAATTGTCTGTATACAGGAAGAATTATGATACTTCAAGATTGAAACACTTCTTTATTTTATAATACATAGAAGTTGGAAAACTGCCATAAAGGAGGAAACACGAAAGATTAAGGGAATACAGCGCCAAGAGGACATGCAGGGCAATGTGTCATCTGCTTTGTGAGTGAGCCAGATGTCACTGTTAGAATACCTTGTTAATACAAATCAAGAAAATATAGCTTAATTTATAGCTTAGATTGGGACAATCCAACAGTCAGAACAGTAAGAATGGGATCAAGTATGCAATGATTAAGAAAAGAATTAAATTTTACATTATCACACCGTTTATTTAATTCAGCGGCAGGTTGGGTGTGTGCTTACACAGCCGGCGGGTGGACCAGAGCAGCTCATTCAAGAAGGAGAGTGAGCGACTCCGGTATCTTTCGGGCGCTTGGCTTCCCTGGCAGCCAGCCGCGGGAGAAAGGTGAGCAGTAGGAGTCGGGGAATGGGGCGGGTGGGCGGAGCTGCGTGGCGAAGGGCGAGCAGGCAGCGGCTCCGCGGCAAGGCTGGAGTCGGGTAATGGTGCATTCTCCGACTCCGGGGAATGGGGCGGGTGGGCAGAGCCGTGAGAGAAAGGTAAGGACACACCGGCAGAATAGAAATTTAAAAATTTTTCCCTACCGGTTCTGTGAGCATGGCTTGATGGAAGGGAGTCTTGTGACTGAGTGGGCGTGGCTGTGAGTGACATTGAGGTGGCCACGCCCACTCAGTCACAGGACACACCCCCACCAAGCCATGCCCACAGAACCGGTAGGGAAAACTTTTAGATTTCACCCCTGCCGCCCGGGCTCTGTTGTTGCCTGGGCTGCAGGAGGCTGTTACGGCCAAAGATGCAGCCTCAATCAGTGATGTCAAGCTGGCCATACCCACCTGGCCATGTGCCCCCCAAGGTCAAACATAACCCTGTTGCAACTGTCAATGAAATCGAGTTTGACACCCTGGCTCTTAGCATTTGGTTGCCTGTTACAAACCTATATGTTGTGGCCTGTCAGTGGCCAGCCCCTCCAGCAGCTGAATCAGAGGAGGAGGCATGGGAGTCAGGGTCAGGGCAACCTGGGAGCTCCAAGGGGGAAGAGGGAATGGAGCTGGCAGATAGAGAGACAGAGGCAGAGCCTGGACCAACCGTCAGCCCTCAGTTGGAGGGTAAATAGTCCCCAGGTTTGGAAGTGGTTGATGAAGAAGAGGAAGAGCTGGGTCCAGTGCCTGATGCGCGGTTGCGCAGAGGGCAGAGAAGACAAGAGCAGTGGAAAGCCGTGGGCCGATCCTGGGGAAGGAAAAGTCACTGCTGCTAACAAGGCCCACCCTAGCTCTGGGGATAAAAGGCAGGGGTGGATATGAGTAGGTGTGGCAGACAACTATTCATCTTCCAGCCGGACAGACTTGTTAGCGTGCGAGATCAACTTTTCGCCAGGACTGCCAGCATTCCTAATAAAGGAATCTTTTGAGTTCATGTTAGAGGGTTTGCCGTGTTTGGGGAGCTGGATCAGAACACTAGAACATAAGATAGAATACAAATCTAGATTACAATAGCATTTATTGTTGTATCCACTGAGGTCTCAGAAAGTGTCAAGTGCATGATTGTACTTGTTTGGAAACTAAGCAGGCTTGCTGATTAGTTCTTGGATTGGATGGGAGATTTTCATAGAATTCCAACGCAATATGTTAGATTGGAAAATTGGGGGGAAACAGCCCAGAAGAAGACAATGATAAATCATTTCCATAAGATTGTCAAAAAAAACCCAACATAAATGTATAATTGAAGGTACCAGAGTCAAGCTTGACTACCAGTAGATATCACTTCAACCTCTCTGCTCCAGATGTTAATTCACAGGTAGACCAAATACAGTCTCCATTGGCAAACACAATTCTCAAGCTGGAAAAACTTGGGTGCATGGCCTGTATCTCAAACCAGCCTTAGTGAGTATTTAATGTTAGTTAAGAAGTTTTGTATTATGATCGATTTAGTTAGTCATATCTTCACTTGTATAGGTTTTTTAAAATTTGCTCAATGTTTTTACCTTTTAAAATAGTTTTTAGGTTGTGTGTGTATATATATTTAAACCAATTTTTTTTATTTTGTCCATTTTTTTTAGCTTTTAAAATTATTAATTGCTTGTATTTCACCATTCTTATGCTGGTCTATTACTGTAATAAAAATTTGATGGATTGATCAATGTACAGAAGCTTGTATATCATACACATAAACGTTTCAATGGATTGGACTGTTTCATCTTGTTTCCTTGTTCATAAGGAAAATTGACACTTACTATATAAAAATCAGTTGGCTTTCATATTTTAAAAATTTTGTAAAAATGGTAACAGGGTAGATCTGAGCAGTGTGGTGGCCTAATGGTGAAGATGCTGACCTGCCATTCGGAAGGTTGAGAATTCAATCCTAGGTAGCGGCAGATGCTTCTCTCCTAGGCTGCAAAGAAGAAAAATTCGACTGTGAACTCTGTGTAGGTGTCTGGAGGGACATCTGTAATAAATGCTCAGCTCCATTTAGCCGCCCCGACTGTACCCAGAATAGAATAGAATAGAACAGAACAGAACAGAACAGAACAGAACAGAACAGAACAGAATAGAATAGAATTTGTTATTGGCCAAGTGTGATTGGACACACAAGGAATTTGTCTTGGTACATACGCTCTCGGAGGACATAAAAGAAAATATACATTTGTCAAGAATCATAAGGTACAACACTTAATGATAGTCATAGGGGAACAGTCAATATAAGTCTTAAGGATACCAGCAACAAGGTTACAGTCATACAGTCATAAGTGGGAGGAGATGGGTGATAGGAATGATGAGAAGATTAACAGTAATGCAGACTTAGTAACTAGTTTGACAGTGTTGAGGGAATTATTTGTTTAGCAGAGTGATGGCATTCAGGAAAAAAACTGTTCTTGTGTGTTCTGGTGTGCAGTGTTCTATAGTGTCGTTTTGAGGGTAGGAGTTGAAACAGTTTATATCCAGGATATGAGGGGTCTGTAAATATTTTCACAGCCCTGTAAGGGATTACGGGATTGTAAAAAGGGAGTTAACAGCGTAGATCCATATGCTTCCTTAATTGTGAATGGCATTCATATATAGGTGTAGTTCATAAAATGGCAAATTTTATGAAATGACTTCAACACATGCAAAGTTGCCTTGCTGTTCCCTAGAAGATATTTACAGCTTCAGAAGAGAATGGTTTTGACAAATACCATCCATGTTCTTTTTGGATGGTTACAATGGTTAAAGTTACAAGGATACAATTATCCAAGGGGCAAACTAGTTCAATACTATCTTTTGTTAGGAAGGAATATATTACTTTTGACAGCAAATCTATTCAGCACATCTTGTTCCAATGAAGTCATAAAAATTGAAAGGTCACCAAACTATGAAAAATGGTCTGTCTTGGTTGCTTTTCTCTAACATGTTTAACTAACAATAGTGTCAGAAGAAATGAGAATGCAACTTTTTGTCCTTCAAGTATCTTCTAGGGCTCGCCTAAGAAGTAACCACTGGTCAAAAATATTCAAGAAAAAGATTTGAAATGTAATCATGGTTTAATACTTAACAAAAGGCTGCAAAGGCTAATCATGGGACAAATAGCCTGCTGCAAAGAAAAGATAGTTTGATGGGACTAGATCCAGGGCAGTCATTCCCAAATGCCATGCTAGTGATACTAGAATAAAACGAATTGAGTTTGAAAACAGACAGAGATCTGATATAGTTGATACTGATCTCAGATTTCCTTCTGCCTTATGTTCTCTGACCATTTTTATTCAGATGCAAATCTCAAAAATTGATTCCTTGAATAAAAGACACTGCTTGAAACTATTACTATTTACACTCAAGATTTATAAGCAATGTAAAAAAAACCCATTTGTTACAGAATATCCTGTTTGAATAATTTTGTTTTTCCTAAGCAAAACTTTCTTAAACTTAGGAAAGCCTTTATTCTTCTGAAAAGAATGGAAACCCTCTGAAAAAAACTGCAGGGACTTGTCCAAGCAACACTTGCTGGATGCCACATTCAAAAATCATCTGGAACTAGTAAGCGCATTCAGTATCTTTCATCAATATTTCTGTGACTTACAT